ATTAGCTAAGCTGCTAGCTGCTTACAATGTATTGCACACTTGATGCCTCTGTACCAAAAACATTCAATTTATTAGAACCTAATACACACTAAAGGCAACAAGTTTATATACCAATTTGTCATTCATAGTACATTTATACTAAACCATGAATATTTGTACTAAACCTCAATATAAATTAAAGACTGCCACTCAATATATTTACATATATGAAAAAATTGAAAAAAATAAAAAAATCATGATTTTTTATAAAAAATCAAGTGATTTAATCACATGATTTAATCATTTTGATTTAATCATTGCCAACCCTGCTAGAGTATAGACCTGTATTTTGCATGTTTCAATTCAAGTTTAATTTAGCTAGTAAAAAAATGGCATCATTTAGAAAAAAGTGGTCTTAGTTACCCCCAGGCTGTAAAGTAGGGCCTTTCAGCTCGAGATATCGGCATACATAGAAAAAATATTATCCTGTTAAATGGTGCCTTTCAGAAAAGATATTGACAGCTCTTAAGGTTTCTCATTGGCTACATGAACCACTTAATCTCAACTGCAAAGTAGGAAGGTATCTCTGTGATATAGATTGTGGTTTTATTAGCATTTTCAGGTTATTGATCAGGTATTGGTTTTCAGCCACTGCTCCTAAGTGTTGGCCAACTGTGAAGTGTACCTATTTAGTGACCTATTCTCACTGACCTTACAACCTCTATAAACAATTGTCTAGTTATACATGAGCTTGTACAGGGTAGAGAATTCACTGTCCTTGGCCCATATTGTTCTTCAATCTTTGATTTGGTAATTAGAAGTTCTTGAACATTTCATTATTTCACTTTCATGGTTTTGGAATTGGTATTTCATGCACAGTAAATTCCAAATTAAATGTAATTTTTCTTTGGAGTTTGGTGTTAATGACTGCCATTTATTGCAGATATATGCCGGGTCTGCCGCTCTGAAGCAACGGCTGACAGGCCTCTCTTCCATCCATGCATTTGCACAGGATCAATAAAGTTTATTCACCAAGACTGTTTAGTACAATGGCTTCGGTACTCTCGAAAAGAGTATTGCGAGCTATGCAAACACAGATTCAGCTTTACTCCAAGTAAGTGGTGCTTTAATATTAATTTCTTGGAATTTATTAGTATATAGTAATCTTGTGAATGTATATAAGGGATCTTTATTAACAGAAATCATTTTATATATACTGGCATTGTATTAGCCACACATTGGAGCAATTTTTTATTCCATGAAATGTCATAAAATATGTACATCAAAATATATACCTAGCTTTACTGATGAATTATTTCATGTGATGTGTCACCCAATATTTACCTGAATATTCTCAGCACAGAGGTTTATATTTTTTTCCTTTTTTTTTCAGTTTATTCCCCCGACATGCCCAATCGATTGCCAATAGCAGATATTTTATCTGGCTTAGCCAGAAGTATGGGAACAGCAATAAGGTAAATATGCCAACAAATTACAATATGGTTATGAAGGCTAGTAATCAAAATTATATAATCTATTTGTTAGCAGCTGTAATAATGCATTTAGTAAGTTACATCATTGGGCATTTTTAAATTGTGTGATTAATTTGATATACTATGTATGTAATATACATTGTACTATATAATTGAAAAATTTTTTTCACTATTTGGACTGATATTTTGCATGATACTAACTGATCTTATGTTTGTTAATATTTTCCTAAGAGTTCTTCTATTTAGTGTTCTTTTTATTATCTATAAGATATGAAATTGAAATAAATTTGCAGATACTGGCTCCACTACACCCTTGTAGCAGTCGCATGGCTTGGAGTTGTACCTCTGACAGCTTGCAGAATTTACCGGTGCCTCTTCACAGTGTCAGTTGCTTCACTGTTTGAACAAGTCACTGACTTACTTTCTACGTAAGTTGCAACATGAGTGGTATCTCTGCAGGGGCATGCAAAATAAATGCATTTCGTGACATGAATTGGTTATGCTGCAATAATGTTTCAGAAGTAATAAATCATCTGTAATCTGATCTAATTTCAATTTTATGCTATTTAGTGTGTTCATTTTTGTTCTCATAAGATATCGAAATTGATGATCTGGCTTGAATTTGGTTGAGTAATAAAATGGAAACTTCTATCAACAATATTTGCTTAACTATGTTCTTCTTTGCCATATTCCCTAATTTTGATGCCATGAAATGTACTCCCACATCAGCCTTGATGAATATATTTATTTTATTATCTACAGGGATAATTTGTTATCAGACATTTTTCATGGATGTCTGGTCGTCACATGTACACTCTCCGCCTTCATCAGCCTTGTGTGGCTAAGAGAACAAATTTTACATGGCGGTGGACCTGACTGGTTAGATATTAGGGATCATGTAAGTTACTCTGAAATTCTTTGCACATTAGTTTAGTTATCTGGAGACTAAATTGGTACCTATATAATTGATTTTATGTTGCAAATTTATCTTTATCAAATCACTTAATCTAGAATGTTGGTACTGTGGTGTCAAAAATTATCTGGCCTTAATCCCATCATAAAAGATGAATGTAAAAATGAAATCGAATCACTTGTAGTAGATTTTATAAGCATATCTGAATCAATTTTTTTGAACTAAAATTATTCCCTTATGTAGGGTTTGCCTTAGGTGCAAAATTTAGAGGACTCTTGAGCAATTCTTTTTAACCTGGCACTCAATATGGTATTTTTTGTTTCAACAGTGAACATTTTACCTTAACATATTGGCTGCATACCTCGAGAGATGAGGGCTGACATGCGATCACAAATATGCTTTGTTAGTCATTTAGGCCAGTCAACTGCATAGTGTTGCTGTGTGTCCCTTCTATCTGTTTAAATAAATTAAAATTAGTAGGCCGCTCAATAAATAAAGTTATTTCCTCAAGTTGTGGCTTTTTATGCAAGGGAGACGCTGGTGGCGCTGCACTGGGTGGAGAAGACCTCATTGCTGCTGCTGCTGTTCCTCCCAATGCTGGTTCGTGTGGAGTGATGATTACTTTCTGCACATGAATCGTCATAATTTATTCAAGATATTACAGACTACAACATTCTTGTTGTGTAATTTCCATATTCATCTATTTTAAATGTATTTTATTATCACGGTTAATGAGCAGTATTGATACTGGTCAGTATAGTATTTTTTAAGGTGAATTAATCATATTGAACTCGCCAGGTGTGGCCAACGGTCATGGGTTGGGTGCTGTGGACCCAGGCATGCAGGCTGGCATGATGCAACCCAACATTGACATCGCTGCTCAGAACTTGAACGCGGCTGACCCCAATGACCCCGATGACCTCGCCAACCCTGATCTTGCTAATCCCATCAATCCTGATGGTATGAATATTATTTGTGTCTCCTGGCGATGCTGCGATTATGTTTGTTTCTACATGTACTTGTGATTTTAATTTTATTATGTCACTAACTGTTGTATTATTTCCTTAACATTTATATGGCGTTTTCTACTTCAATGCAATAAGGAAGTAATTTATAAATTGTTCAATTTCTCCTACTATTTTCCCCATTGAAATGGGTTTGTTGCAAAATTAAATAAAATGTTCCTGCCAGGTGGGGAAGACATCAACTGGAACCCCATAGAGTGGGATAGAGCCGCTGAGGAGCTCACGTGGGAGCGTCTGTTGGGCTTGGATGGGTCGCTGGTGTTCCTTGAACATGTCTTCTGGGTGGTGTCCTTGAACACCATGTTCATCCTGGTCTTTGGTGAGTAATGTCAAACATGTCTTCTGGGTGGTGTCCTTGAACACCATGTTCATCCTGGTCTTCGGTGAGTAATGTCAAACATGTCTTCTGGGTGGTGTCCTTGAACACCATGTTCATCCTGGTCTTCGGTGAGTAATGCCTAACATGTCTTCTGGGTGGTGCCCTTGAACACCATGTTCATCCTGGTCTTTGGTGAGTAAAGCCTAACATGTCTTCTGGGTGGTGTCCTTGAACACCATGTTGATCCTGGTCTTCGGTGAGTAATGCCTAACATTTATGCTCAACAAAGCTATAAATTTAGAAGTTCACTCATGTATTCTGGGCCATCTCATTGAACGCCATTCATTTACTCCATTAAATGCTAACATAATAATGCAACATACTTTTGTGTTATCGGTTTTACCGTAAATACTAATTTTTTAATTAAATAATTTAATTGCCAAATGATGATGGAATTTTCAAGCACATAACTGTTAAGGTAGGCACATATACTTGAGTTATACGTGTTTTTGCAGCATTCTGCCCGTACCACATTGGGCACTTCAGCCTGGTGGGGGTGGGCGTGAAGGCGTGGGTGGCGTCCTCGCACTTTGAAGGCATTCTGACAGCGCTCTGCGGCTACTGTGTGCTGGGCGTAGCGCTCATGCTCATGCACGCTCTCGTCGCCCTCACTAAACTCACCAAGTAAGATTGCTCTTTTATTACATTGGTCTAATATCTTATTAGATTTGAGTGTTGTTTAACATTAGTTAGGCTCCCAACTTACGTTATCATGACCAAGATCCCCAAGAATTATTGCCCACGAGTCGTGAAAATATGCAATAACCTAATAAATTTCTCTATCAAGCTTGTTAAAAATTGGAAAATGTTCCATATTATCATTGATATGGAATATTTAAGCCCATGGTCGAATAATTATTTTTTTTAATATTCACCACATAGAACATTTAATTAATAAGCAGATACCAGCTTATAGAAGTCATTTAACCAGCTCTTACCTGCTCAATATGAAGTAGTTTAATAAAAAGTAGAATAATGCTCTATTCAGCATCAGTAAACCGTATTCTATTATCACCTCATGCATGGTGTAATGAGAAGTTTCTGTGAAGGCTGCGGCGTGCGCTGGGTCTATGCTACGTGGTGGTGAAGGTGGCGCTGCTGTCCGTTGTAGAGATCGGGGTGTTCCCCCTCATTGGCGGGTGGTGGCTTGACATCTGCTCCCTGTCTCTCTTCGACTCCACTCTCAAGGTCAGCTCCTGTAATATGCTACTCTTCTTATCAAAATTAATTTAATATCCAGAAAATTTAGTAGCGCTCTGGATTCCACTTGTTATTGTGCATAATACTAATCAAAAGAGCTTTTAATTTGAGTGACTCCACTCTCAAGGTCAGCTCCTGTAATATGCTACTCTTATCAAAATTCATTTAATATCCAGAAAATTTAGTAGCGCTCTGGATTCCACTTGTTATTGTGCATAATACTAATCAAAAGAGCTTTAAATTTGAGTGCGTCATAGTAATTGATGGAGCAGCAAGCGAGGATTTGGAGGAACAAAAATACCTTGCTCATCTGTTCAAAATGGTGTTCAATATTGCGTCTTGTGTGAGTTAATTAATTTTCAAACATATTATATATGTGTTGAGAACTTTCACGCGTTTTGGCAGGATGCAAGACAAGCTAGTTTTGAAAAAGAGAATTTCACTTGGAAGCAGAAATCTTGTGCACAATTTGTTGTTTACATATCATCTTGTATCTGTTATTTTTTGTGCATTTCATTTACCTTATCGTTATTGTTCATTTCAATAATTTTCTTGTGAAGCTAATAACCATGTTAGGTTATTGTCCTTCTAATTTGCAATCAAGACTCTAACGTGTCAGAAATATTTGTCTATTGCAGGACCGTGAAGCAAGTCTCCGCAAAGCCCCAGGTTCGATGATGTTCTTCCACTGGCTGGGAGGGATGGTCTATGTCTTCTACTTTGCCTCGTTCATCCTACTGCTGCGTGAGGTGCTCAGGCCTGGTGTGCTCTGGTTCCTCAGGAACTTGAACGACCCTGACTTCAACCCTGTCCAGGAGGTACATATCAACAAATTGTTTTTAGCGTTTTACCATTACCGTTAATCATGAGACATCTGATGCATGAATATATTAGGTCTTAGATTCATATTATTAAATTATTTTTACTATGGTACTGTTGTCGTCAAGTATCAGACATCTCATAACTGAATTAAATCCAGGTTATTAATTCATGATTGCAAATTAATTTTTTATTTTTGAACTTGCTTTATTAAAGTGTTCCCCAATTTCAGATGATCCACCTCCCAATTTTCCGACACTCGCGTCGCTTCCTGGCGTCGACGGTGATATTCGGCTGCACGGTCCTGCTCATGCTGTGGCTACCTATCCGCATCGTGCACCTGGTGTGGCCGTCCTTCCTGCCTTACTACTTCCCTAGATCTAGGTAACCAAGAAAGAACGTCTTTATTTTGATATTTCAGAAACATTATATACTTATCCAGGGGTCATACTTTCCAAACTCGCTTAGTGAATGTAAGTACTTACGCGCTATTTTCTTGTCTACAATTGGTGGATTTGGCTTGAAAGGCCGTCAATGATTGGTGGATGAACTTACGATCTCTTAACTTTTTTTTAATGTATAGGCCCTGGTATCCTTATCATGTTATCTTGGAGATCCTTTCGTTATCAACTGAAATTGTTTTGTAAATCACAGTTCAGATCAGAATAATCACGTTTTAACTTAAAGATGAATGTTTCACTTGCGTTTTTATTCTCACGCACGTTTGAAGCTATTCATCATTTGACTTTATAATTTTATTGTTTGCAGTGACACGGTGGGCAGCGAACTGTTCCAAGAGCTGCTGCACTTCCAAGTGATCCTGCCTGCGCTGCTGGAACAGAGTCACACAAGGGCGTGGCTGAAGCTCGTCGTGCGGCAGTGGTGTGTGGTCGTGTCCAAGCTTCTTGGCATCAGGAGCTACTTGCTGGGTGATGTGCCCTTAGACCCGCAGGTGGGTGTTCACTGCCTCTGGCTCTTACCTTACTCATGATAAACGCAGTACATGTTTGTAGCTGAAAACTATTTTTAGCGCATTTTCTCATTTATGGAAAAAGGCGCTATTGTGCTCGTCATATCCGTTCATCCGTGGCTTCATGGACGGACGGACGGGCGAGAAAATGCGCTCTCTGTCAATCATTGCAGTGTGTACTGATGTAAGTTTTTTTCGTAATGCAAGGGATGAAATTCTCACCTCATGGTGTTTCTGGCTATCTTTGATTCTCAATTCTCTCACCAAATATTTCTCGGTGCCAGAAATACAATGAAGATTTATTTGTTTAATCGGGTGTATTTCTCCTTTTGCTATTTATTAATTGTTTGTTGTTACAGGCTCAAGAGAGAACTAAGTTGATTTTTAACAATGATTATTTCTATAATGAACTTTCACTCGTATTTAAATTGGTTTCTAGCAAAATTTCTCATTCATTTTTACAACTCGGAGCGTTTATTTTATTTTTTTTTTGAGTGCCAGCCAGTTATGATAAAAACACTTTACCTTGAATATCAGAAAAAGGTGAATTTGATTCCAAAGAACCAGATTCTTTTAACATTGAAACGCAACAAGTTTACTTATATATACGTTTTAACTTGATGTAAACTTCAATAAATTATTTGATGAATTGTTTCAGAAAGGTGCCATTTTAGTGGTAGTAATTTCCATTGGAAATAATCAGGCGGGCATCCTGATCGGCGACGAGGCTGCACCCGACATGGCCAGGCTGGACGAAGCTGAGGGTCTCCCTGTGGACCCTCTGGTGGATGCGCCACACGCCGCGCCAGAACATCGTCGTGACGATCAGCCGGACGATCTCTTCCAAGACAACGACGGCAACAACAACATCAATAACAACAACAATAACAACGATCTCATGGCTGAAAATTTGCTGGTGCCTCAGGTTGTTGCTGACGACTTGGCAGCTCCTGGTGGCAATCATAACGATGCGCCTCGGCATGTGCCTGGTAAGTGGAGACCTGAATATTTGTATTGCGAAACTAATTATTCTAGTGGTAATCTTGTTCTCTGAAAGATATGCTTTATAATACATTTTTCTCTGCCATCATTTTTTATGCTTGAAAGAAATTTCTTTGATCTCCTTCAAGTTCCTTTTTAGCGCATTTTCTCATTTATGGAAAAAAGGCGCCATTGTGCTCGCCGTGTCCGTCCGTCCGTCTGTCTGTCATTCTGTCTGTCAGTCCGTGACTTCGCGTTTTCGTCGACGAGAAAATGCGCTCTCTGTCACTCACTGCTGTGAGTGCTGAGTTATATTTTTTTATTTTTTCTTGCCATCACACCACGTGACGTTCCTTCAGATGTTGCTGCTGCTCCTGAGCCTGCTGCTCCCCCACCTCCTGCAGCAGATTTGTTCGGCGCTGTTGGAGATGAAGGCCCGCTGGGAGGAGGCCTCGGGGCCGCCCACCAGGCGCTCTTACAGCGGGAGGGACCCATCGGTCAGTGCTTGTGTCCCGTGAATCTTCAATTATGTGCAGGTGTTTTGTGGGTATTGAAAGAAAACAACTGGGCGTCAATAACTGTGATTTCAACTAATAAATATTAAACTTGAGCTTGGACACTGTGTGTAATTCATTTGCTACAATAACCACAATTTACAATGGTTGCTCATTGTAATTTTGAAAAATTTCTTCGATTGGTAAATGATATAAGGTGTGACGTCATTGTCGAATATTTCAATAATGGCTGAACTGATATAATGTGCAAGATTCTACTTTTAGTTGAAGTAAGTAATAATATACCATTGATTGTAACAGGTTTTCGACCCTACATCCAGTTCTATCGTATGAAGTGCTAGATTCTTATTCCAGTTGTGGAGAGAAATAAGATGTACATAATAGTATTTAAATACATAGTGTCATGCATATAATTTCTGTCCTGAGTGTCAAAGCATACATCGAGCTCTACCGTTTAATTTACAAGTTCCTGTAGACAATAACAGAAGTGTCATCAGTCTATTATGTACAGTTATGATTTCTGTCGCTGGTATTGGAACCTACATCGTGCTCTACCGTAGTATATATAATTCACAAGTTCCTGAAAAGTCGTATGGATGACTTTATTATACCTATAATTTTCTATTAACATTCAGGCTTCCGAGCATACGTCCAGCCGCCGTGGTTCGGCGTGCGCATCGTGCTGCTGGTGCTGCTGATGTGCGCGAGCTTGACGGTCTCAGCGATGGTGTGCCTCACGCTGCCTGTCTCCCTCGGCAGGCAGACCATGGCTCTCGTGCTCGGCAAAGAGTCTAAGGTAAGCTACGCTATTTTTTAACGTTTTTATAAGGTTAACTGTGCTATTTTTAATGTTTTTATAAGGTTAACTAAGCTATTTTTAACGTTTTTATAAGGTTAACTATGCTTTTTTTAACGTTTTTATAAGGTTAACTAGGTATGCTTTTTGTAGTTTTTATAAGGTTAACTATGCTATTGCTATTCTTAACGTTGTTATAAGGTTAACTATGCTATTTTTTAACGTTTTTATAAGGTTGACTATCCTATTTTTTAACTTTCATATAAGGTTAACTATGCCATTTTTTTCATATGGTTAACTATGATGTATTTTAAAGTTTTATATCCTGGCTATGCACGTAATCTTTTTCATTTGGTTTCAGTTTTTGGGATTCCAGTTTTTCCGCTGCTGTGTGTTAAGTTACAACCTAGTTAAACATAATTCGTTTGTTCTTTTCAGTTTTAATTTAATTTTTGTATTATATGGTAGACAGAATTCTGTGTGAAATGATGAATTTTAATAATTTCGCTCTTGTACTAACTAGTATGAATGATAATTCTGTATGATCTCTCATTGTTGAATAATATCCTGATTTCCTGTCAAATTTTTTCTGTAGATGATTCTTTTGGGGGTTAAAAATTTTATTGTTAAAAATGACCACTGCCGATGCTTCACTCTTCCATATGGGTTCATGCATATATAGGAAGTTCTTTATCCTATAAATTGGACCTGGTCGAAAATTGAAGTCAGACTGGAAATTATACACTAACTCATTGTTGGTGTTGCAGTTCCACGAGTTGTACACGGGGTCGTGCGGCCTGTACATGTGCCTGCTGTTCGTGCGCGCCGTCACGCTGGTCGTGTCCTGGTGTCAGCTTGGCTGGACGCAGGTCATCAATAAACTCAAGGGATGGACCGTCATGGTGAGTCGTATTTAAACCTCTACCGTATGTCATTCTACAGGAACATAACTTTCAACCTGAATTATACGTAAATTATTGACTGTAGCAACCTGAGGCCGTATGTACGCAACAAATAACATTTTAAAGTTGTTGTATGTGGCGACAACCATCAGTGCAAGTCATTTTGCGTGCACTAGAATGTATTTTTTTGGGAAGTAGGCTCATGGCAACATTGCTCCGGTTGCTCATGTCAAGCGGTAGAGCGTAGAGGGTTAATGGGAACCGAACTGATGATATCTTACGTGAATCTGATGAGATTTCGCTCAGAATGTGCAAATCATTGACGCAGATTTAATTTTTTCAACCTAATCGTTTGGGACAAAATACTAGTGTTGATCGTGTTAGTTTATTGGATTATGATGGGCCTATCTAATATGGTCTTGTGATGCGAAGTTTTGTGCGCAATTCTGCTAGGCTAATGACATAGTATTGAATTACTCTAAGATTTAAGTACTAGAAGAGCCTTCCTCTAGCAAAAATTCTTCAATATAAAATTTTGTGCACAGTATTTCAATATTTCAATAAGGGTAATGTTTGCGCTGAAATTAGTTAGTAATTTCGTGAGCTACTGACTTTTTTGGTGTGACTTCAGGGGGTGAAGGCAATTGTAGGCATCATCGTGGTGGCGGTGGTGATCCCCCTGCTGGTGGGTGTGCTGGTAGAGCTGGTGCTGCTGCTTCCCCTTCGTGTTCCTCTCCACCAAACGCCTGTGCTTTTCCTCTGGCAGGTCTGTCACCAGCTTCTCGGGGGTTTTCTTTTTTTTTTAACATTTTCAGCGTGTGTGTTTTAATTTGCAATTTTGCTTACGAGTTCATTGTTTTCGACCTCGGATAATGTTTATTACGAGTATAAGCTCTCTACAATTTCATTTTGCTTCTTATAAAAATTTCTTATTCCAAGGAATGGTAGCATGAAATAACTGCTACCATAACCTAGTTGGCACGATAATGGACTCGTACCTATATGAAGTTTAGTAGGTAATTTTGAATCGTAATAAAACGTCCCTTACATTTGGCCGTTCATTAATGCTTTTTACACGCGATGATGCAAACGATGTTGATCAGAACTGGGCCCTGGGTGTGCCGAACACAAAGATCATCTGCGCGTTGGTGATGATGGGCCCCAACTGGTGGCTGAAGACGCACCTCGAGCAGATATACCTGCGTGGCCTCCGTAACGTCGACCTCAAACTTGTGGTGGTGGAGACAGCCTTCCCTGTTATTGTGGGCCTCCTGGTGGCGCTCACGCTGCCCTTTGTTATCGCCGAGAGCATCGCGCCGCTGCTGGTTGAGCATGAAGCTTTGGTGAGTGCTGTGCCACACTTGCTGCCATAAGCTGTAATGGGTTCATCAAACACAACTTATTTAGGTCGAGTTGTAGTTTGTTGTTGTATTGCCCATCCTGGTAGTGGCAACTAGGTAAGGTAGAGTTGATAGGTCAGTTTTTTTCGGGCACTAATGCCACTGGTAGTTCCACGACCTTCACTGGCTCGGTGACCCGCCAGAACCATTTTTGCATTACACAACACCCTAGACAAGCCAGGTGCTCGTTTATCAAGTAGAATTAGATGAATGGCTGAAGAATGGTGAATGGTGGTTGGTGTCATTAACTATTGCTGCATTAAACTCTCGATGTTCGCTATACTTGGTTAAGTACAGAGACTCGTATTGATTTGACTGTGACTTTTCAATGCCCATCGTTGTAGTGTTGATGCAACCTAGGGTAAATATGACTTCACCTTGCGCAATTTTGACACAGTGTGCAAACGAATCATCTGTAGTCTCCTTTTCAATTATTCGCACCTGTCTCTGAAAAGATACTTTAGTTAGTACGGGGCTATTGCCTAGTGAGTCGTTTTGGTTTGCGCAATAGTTGTGCAAAATTTAAGTACAATTGGGATTGTGAGAAAGTAATCTCAATGATCACCATTTCAATCTGATCAATGTGCTTGCTTCTTTCATAGTAAATTGAACTTTTATCTCATTTTTGCGCGCAATTTCTTTTTACTGCCATCAAAAAGTGTCTGTTACATTGCAAACATTAGTGAGCTTTCGCATGGAAACCCTAGCAGTTAGTTGAGTAGGTATTACGAGGTCTTTATCACACAGGTTCTAAAATATTGAGTTTGTGTGCAGGTTCTGATAAAACGGCGTATCTACCCTGCAATGCTGTTCGTATCAGTGACGATGTTGCTGGTGCGTATCCAACTCACACAGTTCTCACGCCTCTACGAACATATCAAGAATGACAAGTACCTAGTGGGTCGTCGCTTGGTCAACTATAACCACATACGCAACTATAACTTCAACCAGAGCAACAATGATGGTAGTGGTGGTGGTGGTGGTGGTGGAGAAGCACCCAACAACCCCCCTGCTGGTGATGACATCGCCGATGATGCTGGTGCAGTTGCCGCTGGCGGGATTAACAGTGCTGATGATGTTGGAGGCGATAATGATTTGGATGTCCTCAGTGGCGGTTCAGAGCATTCAAATGCCAGTGTGGACGACGACGAAGACATCAGAGAAATGGACGAGCGGCAGCTGCTCCTTAATTTAGGCCTCATGGACGCCCCTGAAAACGTAGTGCGGTGAGCCTTGATCACCATTCTAGTTGTTCATATGTGAAAGTTTGTTCTGAAATTAGCTAGGTGGTCCATATTAATTAGGTTCTTCCCGGTTTTCTGAAACGCTAGCAAACCCATACTTCTAGTTTTACTAATACTACTAGACTATTATTTTTGCTGCCCATAAACTGTGAAATAATCAGTTTCAACACTCAATTATTGACCTGCACATAAATTCTTTAAAACTGTATATATTGGTTGCATGAACCGTTTCCGTGATGGCCAGAATACCTACTTGGTATACATAGTAGTTGAGACGTGTATCGTTACTTGCCAAGCTATCAAGTAAGCATGATTGTAATATTGGGAGTTATTGTACTGTTGATTTGAAATGGAACATACCCAACCAGTCACTTTATTCTTAGGCCGATGAAGAAAGACTATCTTGTTAAGAACTATTTTACTTTAATGTGCTCAAACTTATCAGATGTCAAACGCATTATATTTCCTTTCATACGTGACTCCAGTTCAGTGAACTATAGAAAATCTGTAGAGTTTCCAGTCGTCGATTTTCAAAGTCTCGCTTTTGTTCTAACATTAAATTGGGACATACCGACAATTTTTTGCTGTTGCTATTGAATTTCTTTTTTGTTGCTCTAAGAAAAGACTCGTCAACCAATCTGCAAGTCGCCCTTTAATGTTTGCGACAAACACTTAACTTAAACCATTCTCGATGTCACTAAATTGCAAATTATCATCGTCTCTTCTGTGATCATAACCTTAAATGTTATAGGATTTACTAATGCAAGAGACTCTTCCTTTTTTCGCACCAGCTATTAATACCATTAATCCAATTACAATAAATTTTAAAAAATGAATACAATATGATGTTTTCTTGTGTTCTATTGGTTGTATTATTGCAGCTTGATTGATGTTTGCCTTGAATGTTGGTTAAATTTGAATAAGAAGTTTTGTCATTTGATCTGCATTAGATCCTAGCTATGTTTGTTGACGTGCTTGGACATAGGCGATGTCGTAGCTTTTTGGCAACGCCGAGTCTGGCTGTAAAGTTCATCAAGCTTATAGACGGTTTAGCTTTGACATCAAAAACCACCTCAGCGTGTTGTTGCTCTTGCAGGCTACAGCTCTTGAATTAGTGAAGGAAAAAAATTATATTCATTCGCTGGGTTTCAATATACGAATAGTAGCTCGTTATAGGGATGCGCCCCTACAGAAATTCATTTTCTTTCGTGCCTCTGCTATTAAATCTTGTCAATAATTCCATGTATTACTATTATATTGAGCTAACTTTACTCCGTTTCTGCTGCTCACCATTGTTTTACTTTTCATGTAAGATTTTGAGGAATTGTTCATTCATGTAGATTTACCTTTGTTGTGTTACTGCTCAGGTTTGCTTTCCGCAGAGAGTGAGGATCAATATTTCTCTGTAAATGCATTCTGATCGATGAATCTCTCCGCTGCGGAATATGAAATTTATTCGTTATTAATCAACATCGGCATATCCTGCCATTCTATTTGCTGGCTGGAAATGATGTTCTGCGGTGTACTACTCTAGTACGTATACATAGAAGACTTGTGTATAAGTCCGTTGTAGCTGATCATATGAGGGGCCAGAAGACTGCTCGCTCTGAATTCTTAAACTTATTTGTGTGCGCTGCTTGCCCAGTCTTCATTGGAGAGCAGGAGCCTTTGGGAGTCAACTTTACTGATCCGTAATTACTTCATTACTGTTGAATAATTGCGGTACTCAGTTGAAAATGATGACTCGTGAGTACGGTGAGTTTGTGGAGAAGTGGGGATTTTTTTTCAATTATCGAATAAGCCTCTAGGCTTATTCATTTCGCCATTTTACTGCTGGGTAGCCAAAATAAGCTTACTCTTTAGTAAACGCATTTTTTCAAGCCTGTCTCGCCAACTCATAGATTATGATGAATATAATCTAAAGGTTCGAATTGTGTTCTTGAAATGGTCTAAGCATTAAACACTCGTGAGAAATACATACAAAATTTATTTTTTTTACATTTTCTTAGTCGACTCAAGAAAACGAGTCAGAAAATGTCCCCTCTCTACTCGTTACGAAGATGAATTGGGAAGAAAACTTTTTGGTCATCCCATTACCCACATTTGACTAAACTTGTGCTGGACATGAGAGTAAGTTGAATCGTCTTTGTTTTCATAATTAACGGCTGTTATTTTATTACTTGTAAGTGAAAAACCTAAACGATTCCTATACATTCATGTGTGTCCTTCAATTTGATTACCTGTATATCTCGAATAATCTTTCCACCCGTGTGCATTAGGCGACTCTGTTGTCTTATTTTACTGCATTCTGTTGCCTTTTTGATGTGTATTATTTAAAGCAGCACATATAATGATGAAATTATTTCACGTGCGTAATGCTGTTCCTAAAATTTGATGGTCGTTATTTTCAAGACGTGTTAATTTTGGTTATAGTTTCCCTAAAGGGCAATTTTTACTTGTTTGTCGTGTACGTTGAAGGCGTTCAAATACTGGTAATGGTATTGCATTACAGCAATTGCCACTGTTAGTAGTTATCATGTCCGCAAATATCTCGGCCGTGATATCCTTTTAAAAATTAAGTAGCAGGGGAATCAGGCACGGACTCCCAAGTGCGAGACGGTACATTTCTAGGAGCCATAAATCACCTTTCCAAATCAAACCGTCTCATTTATGCCTTTCAACAAATTGTATCGACAGGAATCATGAGATAATTTGACTAATTTGCAGCATGCGCACACTTTAGTTCAGCTTAAAGTATACCATATGAATCGTTATTAATTTTTGTTATCGATTTTTTCGCCGTCTATCTCATTTTTCATAGCTGCTAGATTAGAAGAAGGAAGAGCAGAAGCTTGCTATCAGCCTGTTGGGCAACCACGTTCTTTACACCAGGTTTCCGCGAATACTTTTACCCGCTTGTTGAGAACCAAGGTGTTCACAATGAGGTCTGGACCTTAATTGGCCATCACGGCCTTCCTCACGCGTGCAGCGAGTGTTGTTGAGATTGGTAGTGTCTGTACCTGCTTTCACTAGCCGGCTATACATAGCTCATTATAATATTCCTTAGCGGCCTCTAAGCTTATTTCTTTCGTCATTTTACTGCTGGGTAGCCATAATAAGCTTACTCTTTAGTAAATGTATTTTTCCAAGCTGGTCTCGCAAATCCCTTCAAGCCAAGTTAATTTGCCGGTTCGCGGTGCGAAGTGAGAAAGTGAAGTGATACGGTACTTGCCTTACGGTTGGTGAACTTCAAGGGAAGTTTACCAACCAAAGTGATACATTACAAGATTTTCATTCGATGCATGCAAGAATCACCGTAAAGAACATCATAGAATCTTTGGAAAAAAATAGAAACGTGGAGAAATGCTTCATTGTAATGAACCCGAATTGTCCGCATTGTGCACAGAAAATAATGCATAGAGTTGAGAATTCCATGAATTCTAATACTGGAAGTGGGGGGGGGGGTACTATCTGTAAATATATTCATTACTGAATGTTTTTTTTTTGTTAAGTAACAGAAGCCTTCATTTGCGACCTTTATATAATGTAAAGGTAAAAGAACTATTATTGATGACGACAAATTGTACCAAGCTATGGTCAGGTGCTTACCAGCCCCTTTAATTGCATTGCTAATGTGAAGAAAACAATCGGAGAGTATCTAAAAATAAATCGACATTCCCTGCCTCAAACAAGATGAAAGTGATCATCAATTTGATTGTGACTGCATCAATGTAAATAAACCTGAGAAACGTCATAGAGTCAACGTACGGTATGTTCCCTCATTTTGCGGGAGAGGACTTGAAGATATTGACCGATAAACGCTTGCTTCACCTGATAGAACGTCAATGTAAAAATTCGGCTGAACTTACAGAAAGTAAATAACAATTCATTTTAAACTATTGTTAATGGAGATAAATTATTAATATAAACCCTTAAAATGTATGTCATATATTATAATATCTCAATTGACGACATCGACCTATGGAACAAAACGACCTCTCGCCCAAACCGTTCGCAAGCGTAATTAGTGCCACCTGCAAGTTACCAGTACAGAAATTCTACCCACGTGAGCCTGACGCAAACTAATTACCTACTAAAACAACCTCTGACAATTGCAACACAAACTATTTCACAAACCAAGTGAAATAATGACTATAGATGGAATACAAATACGTAACTAAACTCTATTCTCACAACATGAATGAGATAACGAGAAAAATCTGGTCTTTCCGGATCGTTGTTCGTTTTTGGTAGATTCCAATGGTTTCATCAAGGCCAACAGCTGAGAAAACTGCTAGCAACTTTGAGCAGCACGATAAATTGGTGACACGGGCCTTACACTGTCTTACAGATGAATATGAACATCAAGCAAGTTAATAGCGTGCGCATGGCAGGAACATCAGTGGACATTGCAACCTTTACAAGAATTAGAATTAATTAAAATTTAATGAAATTTTCACTAACCAAATATTAATTTAGGCTTAGCTCTGGTTAACATGGAAAAGAGCAAATTCGATTTCAAGATCACAACAGGAAAATATGTGCCTAGGAAAGCCAAAACACATCGGTCTCTTCCTTAACCTGATACTGGCATCATACGGGGAACTTTCAAATGAAGATTTACAGCAACAAATCCAATAATCGACATCATCACCAGCCTCAAGTTCTACTCAAGATATCGAGAAGTAACATGAACATTCTACTGTTATCTATCATTCAAAATAATTTGTTAATACAAGTAAAGAGATTTTTTAAGTGGAACTGAAATTGCTGCAGGGGAGTTTGCAAACGGCTGCTGAGGCAAAGACGCATTGAAATCAACTCTTTATAGGCAATTTGCGCAGTCAAAATCTGCCTCCGTTACGATACCGAATTATATAATCTAATCTCTTAATTTACATCAGTTTCTTGTAATTTTCTATCGAATGCCACAACCGGATTGAAAAAGAAAACACTCTGGATGTACACCACCTCTGGGAATTTTTGTGACAACTAAATAAATCAATTTCAAAATACCGTCTTAATAATTCCGCTTGCAGGAGACTTCGTCCGGTGGTTTCTTGGTAAAGCAGCGGAGTCCCTCAATTACTTTGATGATGCCGAATAAATTGATGAAGAATTTCTATCACCAAATTTAAAAACCAAACACCAAATTACAGATAAACCAAGTAACAAATTTACTTTTTTTTCTCAACAGCAAGATAATCGCAACAAAAAAAGTAAACATCGAGATTCCCTTCATGAATATAATGAACTGACCAAATTCGACAAGAAACGACGCTCACACTCCCATATTAATTAGTCATCAAAATACATTCGACCGGGGCCGTTGTTCTTGAGGTAGCGACGGTAGCTCTTGAAGCGGCCAGAAGACGCTTGCTTGATGCGAATTTCTTCATCACGTTCGGCCTTCCAGACTTGAAAATTTTCCTGTTTCCACAGCTCGAGCTTAAGGTACTTCTCGCGAGTCTCGTCGTCCAGGGCCTGGCGAAAAAATTATATCGACATAAGTTTATAAAAATTTTAACCAGGCCAGGTTGAATTTTTGCGATAAAATATAATTATCGATAAACCTACTCCAAGATCCAATGATCAGAAGTCCATTATTCAACAACTATGGAATAATCTGGCTCAGTTTCCCCAAGCTTCGTCGTTCGAAGACCGCCCTCGCCATGATCTGAAATTTTCACGGCCAGAACAAAACAATGTAGAGCGGGTTACTTAAAGGAGCCAGTTTACCACTGTCATCAGAGTAGGCTCATTAGTTGCGGCGCTGCTACATTGCTCTATCTGCAAGACTGCAACATCGTTAGTCAAAATAGTTTTTTTTTGCAGCCTCGTTGGTACTCATACGCAATAAACGGCCAAACTTCCTAACATGAATTCCAAGAATCCAGATTAAGGAATGAGAGATGGCTGACACATCAGAAACCCATTGCGTCACAAAAATTCGCTTGATAAGTTTTTAGAGAAATTTTAGGTGCATGTGATGTCACCATTTTCAAATGTCGGTGCAGCATGCAGCACTCGCAGCGGCTGTAAGTTGAGACCACAGGCAATTATAAGCTAGAGACAAGACGATTGAGCCTCAACAAATGTAACACCTCAGGCACACAGAATCGCGCCTCCATTACATCACTGCACCCCGGGAAAGTAATGGCTGTAGGACCAAAAGAAACCAACCATCATCACTCACATCATATTGGCCTTGGCTCATGCACATCTTCTTCCTGATGAGGTAGTTCTTATCTTCCTTCTCGTAATCTCTCTTGAGGATCCATATCCTGTAGATCCAGCTGCAGTACCAAGCCAGATACTGGAACGTCCATATGGGCAACATCACCATCTGTACCCACAGTAGGTCACTGTAATTCAAAAATAAACAATGTCCCATCATGTGCAGCAAATACGACACAAGTGATAGTAATACTGATAAATTAGGAAGCGAACTCATTTAGGTCTCCATTGATAGAAAGAAAAAATAGCATTCGGGCATTCAGGATATATCTTTAATATTGATGATGGAGTTCCTCGACTAATATTAAAAACTTAACATTACATTACATCCATTAACATTACCTGTAGTAATATTGCTAAGACCAGGTGTTCCTGGATAGAAGTAGGTAGTGTTGGAGATATAACTGAAAATTGAAAGCTAATTTTAAACTAAAGTGTAAGGTCTGTGGTAGCATACTAAGGCCAGTTTAGAAATACACCATAGTTCCATAGTTGGTTTCATAACCCAGACTCACTAGATGGTGGGCTTGGCATAGACGCCTCTTATGTCCATTTTATCTTCTATAACCTTTCGTATAATTTGCTCCTCTTCTTCCTTTATTTGCTGCTTCGTCATTCTGCGCTGCTTCTTCTTATCTGCAGCGAAAATGATTCAAGTAATAAGAAACGATAGTTATCAAAGGTTCAATGACAGAAGTGTGAGAACATCTTCATTTGTTTAGTTATTAAAGTACATGAATGTTGCATAATTCCATAAGCAGATACAGTTTTCATAATAAAATTATTCTCTTTCTATACCAGCTGGTTCACTCAAGATTTAAAAAATTTGAAAAAAATACTTGGAAATTACACCACTAAAGATAAGTGGAGTAATGCTCATTATAACATTTCCTGTAGTTTCTTCATGCAATTAAACACAACCTACTAATATTTTGTAATGAGTAATCAAGCTCTGCATAAAACTATAATTTTCTCATCAAGATTCTATTGATAAAAAAGAGTTTCGTTGTATAAAAAATTTGGGAAAAATTAAATGCTCAGTGAAGGCATACAACTCAGTTCAGTTGAAGACTAGACAGATTTAGGCAATCTTTGATGATGAAAAAATATAAACTCAGTAGACTCACTGCAGTGAGTTACAGAGAGCGCATTTTCTCGCCGACGAAAACATGAAGTCACGGACAGACGGACATGTCAATAGGGCATTTTTTCCATAAATGAGAAAATGCACTAAAAATGCAACAGTAAATGTCACCTACCGTTGGCAGCACCGAGTAGTCCCTCCTGCTTCGCTATCTCCAAGGCGTGATTGCGATACTTGGGTGTTGAGCTAAAAAACTTGATGGCTTCGTTGAATCTGGAATAATTTTACATTAGAAACAGCCCCAAAAGCTTAGAGCAGTAAGAATTATCATGCTGCTGCCATTTCTGTCTATTTTACGTTATTAACTTCACAAACTGTTTGGTGTATGGTTATGCTATCATACTGTTGTCATGTATGTATTGTTGTCAACTTGTCAGATAACAGTTGGATGTTCTGTCAATTCATCGTGTAGGTACATTAAATAATACATATAAGCCTCAAAAATGTACAGGCTAGAATCTATTATTTGTATCATTTCACTCAATGCCCTGATTATTAGCCCATGGGGTAGTAGGCAATTTGAATATAATGATGGTGAGCTGCTGGGATCAAGAGGGTGGTATGTGACAACGATAGCAAATAGTTGTTACATTTTCTTGTGCACGGTAACTAATTTTTTTTTTTTTGAGATATAAAAATTAGCGGCATGCTTACCAGTGTTAGGGAACCCAGAAACAAGGTCAGATAGAGCAAATGAGGATTGCTCGTATTAAGAAATTAACTAATTATTAAATTATCTGAAATGATACGTTGTACATGCACTTTTCTATAATTAGTGTAGTTAGGCAGAAGTTCTTCATTTATACAGGTTTGATTGAAGACCAGAGCATACTTTATATTATAATTATATAAATTGATATATAATTTTCTATAATTATCCAAGTCTCAACTGTCAACTCACTTGCTCCAGCCATTGTAGTACTGGACACCAGATATAAGCGAGATGGTGACAGCCAAGACAATCCTGACATCAACATTGGGATAGTTGCGACGTCTCCAAGCTCGATAGAAGTTCATGTAGAATTCATCTGGATGGTCCAGCATGTAATCATAGTCTTGTCTGAACTCGTCATCACGCAGGATGTCGTACCTGCAAACAAATTTGTCAGTGAGAACTTCAGTGCAATGAGCAAAAGTTGTGGAACTGACACATAAGTATCTAATGGCATTGAATACATCATATAGCACACAGCTAAGAGCAAATGAATTATAAACCTTGTTTATCCAATTCTATTATAGTCAAATCTTTTCACCATAAATACCAACCGATTCATGTGATTGCATGTTGTTCACAAAATATATACAGTGCAGCAACAGGTTTTATTGGCATTTCTGCAACTAAACATTGCAGTAAAAATATCTTTGTTGAATTACTTACGCAGTTGCAAGCTTTTTGAATCTGATTTCAGCATTTCTTTTCTCACTGGGATCCTGGAACTTGTCTGGATGGGTTTTTGATGCAACAGCTCTGAATGCTCGCTTGATATCTGCTTTGGTTGCCTCCCGAGTTATTTGAAGCACTGGAAATATATGGAGGTAAATACAAATAAATATTCCTAAGGGATTAATCAAAATGTATTTCTAAATAAAATAAGGAATCAGACTTCCAAGCAAATATATTTTATTATAAAACATGAAATTTTGGCTTACACTACTGATATATATTCCTATAAATAAAACAAGTTAACAATCATTAAAAATAATGAGAGCTCCAATAGTACAAACTATTGCCAACAAATTCTATCTGAGTTGCAATCAATATATGATACTTAAGTCTGTAATAAATTTATGCATAAAATTTTGATTGATACTTTTTGGTAGCATCTGAAAAATTTGATTGATATTTTTTGGTAGCATCTAACATCTTTGAACATATTTTCAACACTGGCCCACATGCATGGGCCATTCTAGAAAATTGGTCAGAAGCCATGTGAGAAGGAGAAAAAATGCCCATGTTTGATCTCATTTTTTTCTGATTTTTATGGCCCTTGCCTAGTTTATTTCATAAAAATAAGAAAACTATTCCCAAAATGCTCAGACAAAAAAAATTATTATCAAATGATAATCTCTTTGGACAATATATACACCCTTATTCTGATTTTTTTATGATAATTATGCTCTTGTTCCTGAGTCCTGTAAGGCAGCAAATTGCTTAGCAATTCTGCCCAGTAGCAACTCCAGCAGCCAGCAGGGTTTCATTTTATGAAAATTGGTTTTCACAGAGCACAGGCATGGTATACCATCAAACAGGGTAATAAGGGACAGTTTTGAGCATTTTTTGTTAATAACTTCTTACAATGAAACACCGTCAACCGGGGTAACTCGGGACTGGCGGGGTAATTCGGGACAGTCCTCCGACACGGCGTAAAACTGTTATAGTAGCAAAACTAATTGGAATATTGCAAAACTAAAAATAGTGGCGTAAACGTCAACATTTTTCCTATCTATGTAGTATAAAGGGAGTCGAAAAATACGACATTTACTAGCTTTGAAAAATTCCTGAAAAAAATGGTGAAAAGCGCTATTTTGAAAAGTTACTTCTGCTAAGGTCTGGAGCAAAAAAAATATTCGCTGTATTAAAAAATTTTACTTACATAAAAGTTGCACCCAGGTGTCGGCTTGAAAACGTAATNGGGGCAATTCGGGACACTCTTTTTTTGCTTCTGGCACCTTAGGAATAGCATATGGAATTTTTTTGACAATGCCATTCGATAGCCCTCGCAAAGAGCTATAAAATGAGCCTAAACTTGTTTATGAAATGTTTCATCGTAAGAAGTTATTAACAAAAAACGCTCAAAATCGTCCCGAATTACCCCGGTTGACGGCATTTCATAAACAAGTTTGGGCTCATTTTGAAGGTCTTTGCAAGGGCTATCACATGGATCTCCAAAAAAAATTCCATATGCTCTATGTAAGGTGATAGACGCAATAAAAAAGCCTCCTGAATTTATCTGGAAACGGGGTAATAAGGGACACTTGAAATAAAACTCAATTAAAAAAAATTGAATTGAATTGAAATTGAATTGAATTGAAATTGAATTGAAAATTGAATTGTCAAACGGGGTAAAAAGGGACGGTTTTGAGCGTTTTTTGTTAATAACTTCTTACCATGAAACATTTCAGAAACAAGTTTAGGCTCATTTTATAGCTCTTTGCAAGGGCTATCCAATGGCATCTTCAAAAAAATTCCATGCGCTATTTGTAAAGTGCCAGATGCAAAATAAAACTGTCCCGATTTACCCCTGGGAACAGGGAAATCTCAAATCTGGGACACTTGCAATAAAAGTTAATTTTAAAATGTTTGAAGCATGCAGAGTGTACTCATCCATTACTAACAGTACTCTGAAGTCCTCCTCTTTCATTATAGATGATGTAGATGTAAAATAAATGACATTTTCTGTGATTTTTGCTTGTTTTTCCTTTATTGATATCATATTACCATATTCATTAATTACCGTATTATTAATGTGATATTACTGTATCCATGGGCATGCCATTGACAGAGCTGGGCAGCGCTACTTGGAAATGTAGCGGCGCTACCGCTACTGCTACATGCTCTAAATGTAGCGGGCGCTACAGCTATACCCACTAGATTGTAACAGGCGCTACCGCTACCGCTACAGTAAAATGTAGCGCCCTACATTAGCCGCTACAATGGCCAAAATTATTGGAAATTTCTCAATATTTATTGTTCTGCTATTGGGATTTACTCATTAACATTTAATGATAATAAAACATTTTTAAAACATATCAATGCAACTTTATTGCAATTAACCTAACCAAACTAGTATGGGTTACCCCAGGGTTAGATACAGTGAATAGAAGTTACAGTTATTTTTATGTTTTACCTTCCCTATATGGATGTGAACTTTAATCAACCAATCTAAGAAATTATCCACATATACACATAAAAATCAGTCGTTTTTGTATATATATGTGGATCATTTTTGAGATTGGTAGATTAAAGTAGACATCCATGTAGGGAAGGTAAAACATAAAAATAACTGTGTAAAAATAACTGTAAGCAAACTGAAAGATGAAAAAAACCTGTAAGTGGTAACTGGTAACAACTTAACAAGTAACAACTAACATGTTGACACTAGTAAGTTAGTAACAGGCTGAGGTTGACAACATTACACCAAAATATTTCGTACAGTTTTATTCTGTAATTTATATTATGTATGTATCATGCTGGTTTTTAAATAATATTTAATACTATTAAGNTTTTGGAGAAATAAATCATAGTTTAGGTCAATTACTTTTCATTCTATGATGCCCAGTGCACAATTCTATATATAGCATTCTATGCACAATTTTGTGACAACTGATGATGCACTAATTTTTCAATCAGTGAATTTTTTTTGCTGAGCAAGGTAAATGTAATCAAAATTCTTTGTTGTAAATCAATTTTTTTTGTTAACTGGAACCTTTGCTAACTGAGGGTCTACTGTAAATGCATTTTTAAGGGTGTCCCTAATTACCCCGGGGGGGGGTGTCGTTTTTTACCCCGTTGCACGGAAATGGCTGCCATTTTTTTTTGGGATGAGATAGGCAAATTCTGTCAATTACGTTTTCAAGCCGACACCTGGGTGCAACTTTTATGCAAGTAAAATTTTTCAATACGGCGAATATTTTCTTTGCTCCAGACCTTAGCAGAGGTACTTTTCCAAAATCGCACTTTTCACACTTTTTTCAGCAATTTTTTAGAGATAGTAAATGTTTGATTACTTGACTAGCTTTATGCATAATAGATAGTAAAAATGTTGAAGTTTATGCCACTATTTTTAGTTTTGCAACATTTTGATTAGTTTAGCTGCTACAACATTTCTACAAAATGTGGGATGTGCGTCCCGATTTACCCCGCCCGTCTCTTTTTACCCCATTTGACGGTACTCATCCATTACTAACAGCACTCTGAAGTCCTCCTCTTCCTTTGTAGATGATGTAAATGTAGAATAAAGGATATTTTCAGTGACTTTTACTTGTTTTTTCTTCATTGATTTGATATTACCTCATCCATATATTACCATATTATTAATATGCTATGACTGTATCCATGAATATGCCATCGAGCATTGACAACAACCTTGTTCACTGCAAGCTTCATATCAGCAGCCATATAGCATTTCTTCTGTACCTCTAAGCTCACAGAATGGCTTGTAATTCTGCACAATTTTAATAGAGTTGAGTGATTTCACTATAACAAAAAAGATTGTAAAAAAACACCTGAAGCAGGAAGGAATATTTTAGTGACAATCATCATATTTTTTGAAGAAGTAAATCGTAGTTTAGGTTAATTACTTTTCATTCTTTGATGCCCAGTGCTCAATTCTATCTATGACATTCTATACACAATTTTGTGATGCCTGAGGCATTAATTTTTTGTCAAGTGAAACTTTTTTCACTGAGCAGGGTAAATGTAATCAAAATTCTTTGAACATTGTTAATTGATTTTTTTCATTAACGGGAGCCTTTGCTAACTAAGATTCTGCTGTAAATGTGATTTTAGTGGTGTCTCTTATTACCCCAGGTGTTCCTTATTACCCCTTCTTGCGGAAATGGCCACCATTTTTTTTAATGAGATCGAATTCTATCTACCACATTTTTAAGCCAACACAAGTGTGCAACTTTTATGTAAGTAAAATTTTTCAATACAACAAATATTTTTTTTTTTTGCTACAGACCATAGAAGAGGTACTTTTCCAAAATCTCACTTTTCACACTTTTTTTCAGGGATTTTTTAGAGGTAGAAAATGTACAATTTCTTAACTTGCTCTATCAGTTTATGCTACATAGATAGTAAAAATGTTGAACTTTACACCACTATTTTTAGTTTTGCAATATTTTGATTAGTTTAGCTGCTATAACATTTCTACATAATGAGGGACGCCTGTCCCAATTTACCCTGCCCATCCCTTATTACCCCGTTTGATGGTATATATGCAAAATTGGAGGCATAGTGGCAAATCAGACTAACAGAGTATTTTAGACTCTCCCTCCATGTCCATTTTTATAGTCTTATAAGTAGACTAGTAAAGTAGTATCATGGATACAAGCATTAGCATGCATAAGAAATTGGTGTAAATCTTGAGCAGAGCAAATTAAAAATGAATTGATTCTAAAAAATCTGTGGATTGTTACTCTGATAGGAGACATGGAGCTGCAATATTACTAAAAGATGAATTACTTCCTATCTAAATGTTGACAGAAATACACAGTCAGGCAGCAAATTCCAATCCTGTGCCTGTGTTTGCCCAACTGCATTGCAGTTTGGCAAGTGTGTCACCAAGATTGGAGCTTTAGCCTTTAGGCCTCAAGTGTTGCTGGTATCATTGAGGATTTGTAGCCAGATCTGACTAAACCAGGGTTGGTGATTCTTTTGATTAAAAAAAATCAAAAAATCAAAAATCAATGATTTTTTATATTTTTTCATGATTTTTTTATTCATTTTATTTTTTTTATTTCTTCAGCTTTTTTGTCTTTTTGAAAGTTTAATTTTTATGTTGCAATTAGCCTAACG